TTTAAAAGCATTTCAGTTTCTGAAAAAAGCTGCAACAAATTTAGTCATTTTAGGTTGCAGTTGAAAAAAATTGTATGAGTATGGTCTAACTGATACCGATAATGGACCTGGTTATTCGTCCGTGCCGGTAGTGAATGGGTTTGGACCCAACTCCTGTACAGCTGTGGAGGTTATCTTTTCTCCTCTACATTAGGCCTGAAACACTTCATCTCCAGTTACAAAGCTGTTGTGCAGCACAGCCAGTCTGAGCTCAGATTACCAATAGGGCTGTTTTATCTCAACGCTTATGTTACATGGCTCCCTCTTTCGCACGCCGCTGATCTTTAAGCTGGGCAAGACAGGCAGACAGCAAGCTCAAGCTGGGAGAGTTCGTGAAATATTACTACCAGCCTGAACGACCAAAAGTGTTAAATCTTATCAGCCTGGAGTTCTCTGATACAAAGTATGTCTGTGTGGGAACCCATCGTTTTCCTTTCTATGCAACATAACTTGAGACTTGAGTTGATAACACTCAAGTAGCATTAAAATCAGTGTTGTTGCATTATACATTTAACACATATAAATGCTTTTTTGAAGTCTAATTTTTGTTTTCTGCTCTGTTTTAGGATGTCCAATTTGGTGGAGGTTCCTGAAATTGCGCAGAAGATGTCCTGGGTTGAGAACTACTGGCCTGATGACTCGTTCTTCCCCAAACCATTTGTGCAGAAGTATTGTCTCATGGGAATGAAAAACAGTTACACAGACTTCCACATCGATTTTGGAGGAACTTCAGTGTGGTATCATGTTCTCTGGGTAAGAACTAAGGCCTGTTTTATGATGTGAATATGTTTTATGAAGTGTACAGTTTGTTTTTGTATATGACCATCTAAATGGTTTCATGAGCAATTTGTGGAGATCCGGTCGTGTGATATTACAGTTATGCAAGTGATAAGTGCTGATAAGGCTGTGTTTTTTTTTTTTGCAGGGAGAGAAGATTTTCTACTTGATCAAGCCGACTAAGGCTAACCTTGCACTATATGAGTCCTGGAGCTCATCACCCAGTCAGAGCGAAGTATTCTTTGGGGATAAAGTCGACAAGTGTTACAAATGTGTGGTGAAGCAGGGAACTACCATCTTCCTCCCCACTGGTGAGAACGCAGAATTTGCCAAACATCTAAATCATTTTGGTGTCCATCAGAAGATTATCCCCACCCTTCATTTGGTGCCCAAATAAAATCAGTTAAAATTCACTTTAAATTATAAATTAAACCATATTCAAATTAAAAAAATCATTAAAATTTTATTTCATGTCAGAATTGTCAGGGTGGTACAACTGTCATGATATCAAAATGAAGAAACAAGCATCATTAAAATAATGAAATTCTTACAGAAAACCTTAGTTGTTTGCCACAATCTTTTAATATTATCATAAATCACATGGTGCAACAAACATGTACAAACCATAACTTAAGTCCCTCATGGCTATGTGTCAAGGTCAATAAGTCTCTTAAAATATTAAATAATTTGTGACAAAGAAAGGTCAGTTCAGGTTGTAAAATGTCATGTGGTGTGACTCCCCAAAAAGTAATGACATTTATGAATTAATAATTCGTAATATTTGTAATGTCACGTTTGTTACTTTTTTACTATGAAACCTATATTTATAAACATTTTTGATATGTTTAAAGGTCCCCTGAAGTGACTTGAAACACTCGCGCATATGATCCGCTCCGTGCGATCGGGTCTCTAGACCGAAGCCAAAGTCCGGATCAGACTGTGTGCGCTGCCGCGGTTCGCGTGAAACAATGTGAAACCAGGCCTCATTTGCACCAATCGAAAGCATGTTTACACTGTCTGAATCGTTCCCTATCGCCTACATTGTGCACTACGAGCCATTCACTGTACAGGAAATACTACACCGTGAACAAGTGACCGGTCTCAGCCGGCGCTTCAGTGTCTATTTATAGTGCAGGGGGCGGGTGCTTCGGCTTCTAGAGAGCATTTGATTGGCCAGAAGATTTGATGAGAAAATGAAGTACGATGTGACGTCAAAAAAATCGTTGAGCCGTTTTGGCGGAAGTGACGAACTGCAAGCTTTGAATGCTTATATCTTCTAAATGGGAATTTTGTCACTGTTTTGGAGATAACCTTAAGACTAACATATTGATACTAAACTTTGATTTCATGGGGACTTTAAGGCATGAGGAAAACTGGTATTATTTTTTACTTGAGGGTTACACCACATGACATTTTTAGTGTCATTACTTTGAAACTTTTCTTAAATTCTATAAATATTTTTCAAAAGCATATGGAACCAACAGTAATACAAGGAGCACATTGCCAAGAAATGAACTAACTAGATTTTTTAAAATATTTTTTTCTTTATTTATTGTGGATGCTCTTATTTGTCATCAACCCAAACAACGACATGCCTTTTGTATCCTCGTTTGACCCCACATTGCAAAATAGCATGTGCGCTTTTGTAGAAAAACACGTACATGGTACGACAAGGCGAAAATAAGATCAGGCGGTTTCCCAGAGCTCCTGCCAGGAAAATGTGGATCAGCGTCCAACACAGATGACCTTTGTTATAGTGGGAGTGTTGGGCAACGATCTTCGCTGAGCAACGTGGTAAACAGTATAAAAACACTCTGATGGGCTATGATGCAATTCACGTGCATCTCACCGAATGGAAAGAATGTAGAATGAAAAGTATCTGGGCGTTCCTTTAATCGCCCGTCAGAAGCGCTATGTTAATTCAGCATGCATTTAGAGTGCTATAAATGGTCTTTAACCATTGCGGAGGTAGTAGACGTAACTCTTCTTGTGGCAGGGATTCATTATCACAGCATGTGTATTTGTGGCGTGTGAAAATGAGCATGTGGGTTTCCCTCCTCGAGCAGAACGCACATATGACGAAGCAGAAATCCCCCTCTTGTTTAGCAACTTGTCTGCACACGGTGGCCAATGCACATGCAGCTAGACGGAGAGATAAAACTGATATTTCTGTCAGTGGCAGTGAGGTGTGGGTGTGAGATGACTCTATATTTGGCTTTTGCTGATGTGTATTTGTATGTGTGTGTATACACACCGGTTACTATTGTGAATTGTGTGTGTACACTGTATTTTGCTGATGTCTATGAATATCAAGGCTGATTAATACAAACGGAGTAATATGCCTTGGTTCAGTGTGAGAGAGTTTTAGCCAGTTAATGGAACTTAAACTTCAGTTCTGCTTATTTATCTGGCTGGCTGACATTGGCAATTTTTTAACAAAACCTCACCAATTTAGTGACAATTTGAAGGTGCTTTTTCCCAAAAGAAGTAACAACTGCTTGGGCTGTTTCAAAGATGCTGAGAGCATTGTAGGGATGCAAATTGTGAGAATAACTTGTGGTAGTCTCAAAGTGATTTTGTATTGTAAGTTATATGTGCTTTTTTTCTGGATAAAATAAAAATGATATTAGATTTAATAAACATTTTATTTAATTAAAATGTTAACATCAATTATTTTTAAATTGTTTAAAATATGCTAAATATTCATTCTTAATGTTTTCTTTAGATTTTTATTCAGTAAGATTTAAATATTTTATATTATATTATTTTAATCAGTATTTTTTTACTTCCTGAATTAAATTACATTTAAATTATGTAAATTACTTTTAAAATGTTTAATAGATTAAACATTAATTCTTAATCCTTTGATTTTTAAACTAAGATATATGCTAATTAATGAAATGGGGGTTTTAACATGGTGTAACTTGCTAGTATTAAGCTAGTGTTTAATCAAAATAATTTAGATCTATATACAGATGATTCAGAGACCGAATGATGATTAACTATTGTTTTTGGTCGAGCTAGTGAAAATAAACCAGGTCTGCATAAAGTAATCTTTCCCGAGGCCTGAATGTTGATCTCTGTTGCCCTCTACAGGTTGGATCCATGCAGTGCTCACTTCTCAGGATTCCATGGCATTTGGTGGGAACTTCTTGCAGAATTTAAACATAGGCATGCAGCTCAGGTAAAACCCTGAATTAATTTTGATGAAACTTCTCTGTATTGTTACTGTCACTATAGTTAAGTTCAGGTTTCTAAACGTATTCCTGCTGGAACTGAACTACCTCTCCATCCACATTTTAGGTGTTATGAGATGGAGCGCAGACTGAAGACTCCAGATCTCTTTAAGTTCCCCTACTTTGAGGCCATCTGCTGGTATGTGGCCAAAAACCTTCTGGAGACCCTTAAAGGTGAGTGGGACAGGACTGCTCATGCAGAGCAGGATTTTCCCAAACTGGGAAACATGAGGGAACATGCAAAGGGTTTGGGAGTTGATGAAAAGCTAATAATATGATTATCAATAAAACACTTACTAAAAAATGATGAAATATGTTTACCTCCATGTCATGTCATCATAAACCAATATGCAAATATAGTTCCTTGCATAAATATAGTTGTAGATGTAGCATCTTGATCAAGTGAAGATTCAGAGTGAAACATGTTTGTGTTTCAGAGCTGCGGGAGGATAAATGTCAACCTCGGGGTTATCTAGTGGACGGGGTGAAAGCTTTAATCTCATCACTGAAGACGTGGCTGAGGAGGGAGGTAAGAGAATGTCCGCTTTTTCGATGTCATTGTTTTTATAGTAAAACTGTGGCTGTTGTTACATGCTCATTTTCTCTGTTTCTCCTCTGCAGTTAACTCAACCCAACAGTGAGGTTCCAGACAATATCAGGCCAAGCAGTCTCATTAAAGCTCTGACCACGGAGATCCGCTACCTGGAGGTAAGACAAGCCTGAAGAAGCTGAGTGGTTTTGAATGGGTGATGTGACCAAAATTCACAGGTCTTTAGACATAAGCTGCTTTTTATTTTGATGTTCACTTTGCAATGTTATGAGAACTAGGGATGTCCCTGAAGCTGAATACTGTGTTCGGAAAGGAAACGACGCATTTTACAGAGCCCCTAAAGCAGGGGTGTCAAACTCATTTAAGGTTGAGGGTCGGATCGGAGAAAATGTCCCCTTGTGCGGGCCGAATTACCTTTTGTTAAACCCTAGTTTGCTCACAATTACATTAATATTAACCATACAAACTACAATATAATTAAAAAAAAATCTTAGGACAACTTTTTTTTAAAGATGATGCTTGGTTATTTTAGGGGTGTGCAATATTGACACAAAATGTCTTCTCTTCTCTTTTTTAATTTTTTTATATAATTACCATATTTTGAAGAGTGTGTTTTTGAGATAGCACCTTGGTTGATTGTCATGGATAAATAAATATGACACTAAAGCCGCCAGTAGGTGGCAGCAAGTCTCCGTCTTAATGAGTGATCCATTGGCTCATTCATTCAAAACAGCCGATTCGTTTGGAAACTAAGCTAGTGATTGTCTTTATGAATGGGCCACTGAATCATTGACTCAAATAATTTGTTCAAAAACACAGATTAATTCAGTAACAAAATACACAGTGCTGCCTCGGAGACACACAATTGGTCTTACTTCGGCTTTGTTAAAAACTTTTCCTTGCCAAAACAGAGATTAACAGACAGCATTGTGACTAATATAACACACTTAATACTAGCATCTTGTTTGTTGAGCTGTTATATAAAATCAATTAATTTGCGATCGCGCTGACTTTCGGGAATGCAACACTCTTGATATAGTTAGACATTACTTAACTATCACGACATAAATATTAAAAACTACATTTCTTACAGGGCATTTTATTTTTGCCCCATATATTGAATTATATTGTAAACTGATAGCCTTCATCCGGCACTGAAAAACTCTCATGATGTGTTTGTTT